CCCCAAAACCCCAAAACCCCAAAACCCCTTGAGGCAATAATAGCTAATGGGAAGGAGACCAAAAGATTAATAAAATTAAAATCCAATTGAAAAATCGCATAAAAAAGAAAATATACTTACCGCCTTTGCAGTTAACCCTGAGGAGTCAGATCTATTCCAGAAGCATGATAATACTATCCGGCAGTCATAATCCTAGAGATCATCAGTAAATATGCCAAGACAGTCAATCAAAGAGATTTACTCTCAGTAGGGTAAGATGCAAATTACCTCTTACTATCAAAGACCTAGAGATTTAGATATACCTAGTGAACCGACTAGTGAAATGACTTACAATTCTCAAATGTGCCATGACTAAGATGCCCCAGTACCAGATGATGCAGAAATCGAAAAGCATCTTGATTAATATATCTATGATGATGTCATGAAGACACCAATCTTAGCAAGAAGGAGAATGAAAAAGCTGAGACCTCAGCAGATATAAAAGCAGCAGTTTAAGGAGTTTACATAGATGTATAGGACCTCCTTGTAATATAGGGAGTGGATAGATTACATCGAAGACTAGAAAGCTAATAAGCCGGCAGTGTGCCTAACCTGCTGGCAATTTGTAAGTGATTAGCAAAAGAATATGCACCTAGCTTACGGACATATATGCATTGACAAGAATACAGTGACTACCGAGGCTAGATTCATGCATTATGCAAAGTTATGGAAAAGATACACCTGGGATGAAATAATATTCATCTTTGCTCCTCAAAATGGCGAGTTTTTCGACAGAAACAAGATGCAGATAATTAATATGTTGAGTCATGACATGAAATCCTGCAGAGAGAACAAGGGTAATATGAAAGGCTAGCCCCCATTTCTAAGTGCACCCCTAGTACCCTTCAATATGATACCTCAGAGTGCAAGTCCATTAGCCATAGTCTAACGTATTCAAAGGGAAAACTAGCAAAGAGCATTAGCAGACAGCAATATTTTAGCTATAGAAAATACTAAAGAGAACCAGCTGAAGATGAAATTCGGGTCTATGGTTCAGGGCTACAACAATGATAACAGAGATGGCTTATGCTAGATCTTGGCTTAGACAATGATGAATATGAAGTACGTAATGGAGGCACAGGATGACATGCTGCATAAACTCAACTTGCTTATGATTAAAAAGGAGAAAATTGTGTTTTAAAAGTCAATATTCAGTGCACTTGAGACTTAACAGGAGGTGCTGGAGATACCAATTGACTAGGCCAAAGTATTTACAAGAGCAGAGAGAGTTCAAAAATAATATCAAAATTAGATATATCAAGGGAATTATCAAAATCAATAATACTAGCAGCAATAATATCATAACCAACACATAAATCAAAATAGCCTATAACAAAATCTAATTAACTTATTTAATTGAAAAATATATTTTCTTTATTTTAAACATTCAAATAAATCGCATTTACTAAGCAGTTTGATTTGTCATAAATTATATTATATGCAGAGAAGAATAAACGGCAGACCTCCTAGGAAGAGAGGCAAGAATGCTTATGCTGCGGGTTTGGCAGCTATGTATAAAAGAATCAGTGGAGAAGATGCTTCATATATCCCTCTAAACCGTAAATATGACAATGAACTGGACCCTGATGATGAGAGTTTCATGCCTGATCCTGACTTAGCAGATCCTCTCACTTTTGACGGAGCTGCAGCTATCGATGCAGGACTGAGACTCTACTACCCTAATGAGCCTCAAAACACTGGATACAACAAGCATGATTGGGTAAAGGTGGGGTCTACTGAATATTACGTGTTTATCAAGCAACTATAAGAAAGAGTGGATTCGAAAAGGGGGCACTCGCAGATCTGTCTCAGCTGCTGGAAATTCATCTCAAATCATTAACAGCGACAGCATGAACAGGCTGGTCATTAATGCGCTAAGGCTTAAACTATAAGGGACGATAACTCTTTTATGCTGAATGCCAAATCGTTCGGAAGAATCACCCCCGAAGGTTATGTTTAGAAATTCTCTTAACAAGATCGAATACATTTCCAAAAGAACAGCCTAATATCAGCTGGCAACTGTATTGGCAAGACTTCAAATTAGTCTGGATAATTGAATGGACAGCCAGCTAATTTGCAGTAAAAAGGAAACTAGGCGCTGGTCGCTATGAATTAGATGACCTATGACTTGACTCCAAAGCCGTAGGAGTACAGTATGAAGCCCATTCAATATAATGGTTCAGTAAACTTTGCCTTTGAGTCTGAGGAAAAGGAGAAAATAGTGAATTGCTTGAATAAATTCAAGGACAAGATGAAGTACCTGGAAGATAAACTAGGCGAGATGGCTTACTATATGAAAATTCTAAATGAAAGAATCGAATACAGATAAGAATCGCACATTAGGAATGAATTGATGCTGCAATAGCAGTAATGCTATGGATTGAATGATTACTATGATGACGGAGGAGGTGGTAGGAATGGAGTAATGAATATAAAAATGCAGTTGCAATAGCAAACTTAAAATGAAGAGGATGAGGATGATTATATAAATGAAAATGAAATATTATGTTTTACCATAATTAAAGAAAATTTATAAATATTCTACTTTTTCCCCTTATAGCAAACAGATATTCATGAACAAGGGCACTGGAAGAACAAAGAAATTTTCAAATAATGCAATCGGATCTGAACTTGGGGAGATGAATAAGCATTCAGATGAAAACTCAACTTATGTGGGTGAACCAGCAGTTCATAACTAGGAAAACTAACTTTAAGTATATAAGCAGAGCCCAGAGAATTAAGTGTTTGTAGGAGCTGAGCTGGGTGCTAGGTCAGAAAGAGGTACAGAAATCAATAACTGCTATCAGCAGTTCCAAACTCAAGAAATGGATCTAGAGGATTACCTGGAAAACAGTGCTTGCAGAGAAGTAGTAGATCCTTTGTTTAATGGGCAATACTATGATTAAAGACCAGCTTATAAAAGTATCAGGGATGACACAGTGAGAATAGGTTCTGAAGATTATTGGGATTTCATTAACAGATTAGAGTAAATTATGGACAGAAGAATTGGAAATCACTTCATATGCCTTAGTTGCTGGAAGTTTGTGAGTCTCATGCAATAAAAATAGCATCAAAGAGCAGGTCATCAGTGCTCCAAAGAATGTGCAATTCATGACGATCCTTCCTTTATGCAGGCTTCGAGAACTTTTGGCAAGATCTCTCTCAATGGCTGTGTTTAGAAACTTGCCCCCTATGAAAGGAATAATTTTATAAAGCATGCAAGGACTAAGAATGGCTACGCGATACCAATGAAGGATTTTTACAAGAATCAGATAATAATGAATGAAAAAGGTAAGCCTCCTTATTTGTCACAACCCTTGACTCCCATGAACATGGTACCTTATAACAATGGCAGCTCTTGGAGTGGTTGCGTCAAAAGAGAAGATGAGTTTAGGAAGCATTTTGAAACAGGACCTTTCTGTGAACTTACTGCCCCAAAGCTGGCGGACCAAGACAACATCAATGTGATTAAGGATAAAAAGGATGTGCTAGCAAGTATGGCAAAGATACACAAGAGGCTTGAAGATACTGAGGAAATGCTTGTAGATATGCTGCACAAGATAAGACTAATTGTGATTAAAGATGAGATTGAAAACCCTGAAGCTGTATAGCAGAATGAAAGTCTCGTTCAGCTCATTGAGATCAAATAGTCTCAGCTGCAAATGATGAGAGATATATTCAATGAGAAAGAAGAGTCTAAGTCAAATATTAAAAATAGCTGATAAATTTAAATAAACTCAATTAATTTCAGAGTAAATATTAGTGCTGAATATCTGTTATAGGGGTTTTGGGGTTTTGGGGTTTTGGGG